GTATATAGAATGTCTGTGAACAGATGCAAAGTCATGTACTATTCTGCTGATGAAAGTGCCACCAGAGGCTCAAAGGAATCTAATCCCCCTATGTCCCCTAGAAGCAATGCTTCAAATTTTGCTAATTCAGTGTTTGTGATGACTTTAGAGACCATAACTACCTAAAATAATGAGAACTGATGGTAAGCACAAGTGCTGATACCTACTGTATACTGGACACTGGAGTTTGTGTTATTCAACAAATATGCATGAGTTCTTTCAATGTGTCAGACTTGTTCTAAGTAAAGAGGGACCCATAGTGTAATAAACCAAAGATTTCAGCCTTCTTTCTTCATGGAGCTTATATTCTAGTAAAGGCAGAGAGGAAACAGACACATATATGTTTAATATGTTGTTGATGGTAAGTGCTATGAAGTAAGCTTCCATGCTCTAGTATGTAGATTATGTAAATAAAACTCAGAGAACTACGTAACTAAGTCGCTTATGAAAAGTCTAAATTAAATGACTCAAAATTGAAGCTCAGATCTTTTCGCTTCAAAAAGCATGCTCTTTCAATTAATTTACCCTTCATCCTTCTCACAAATACCTGTACTACAACTTCTTGGTAGAAGAACTGCTGCTAGCTCCTGTGAGGAACACCCTATCTCAAAAGACAATAGTTTTATCCTGTCAGGAGTGGTTTTCAATAATGAGGCCAATTTTGCCTCCCTAGGGGACATTCAGTAATACATTTGAGACATGTTTGATTGTTGTCCTTGGGTCGGGGGTGATACTGGCAGCTAGTGGATCAGGAATCGTGCTTAACATTCTACAAAACAGAACAAAGAATAGTGTCTGGCCCTGATAGTGTTTACAAGGAGAAACTGCTCAGAGCCATGAAACTTAGAAAGAGCTAGGTGAGCAACACTTTCAAGTAGCTAGCTAGCTCAGGACTCATGTAGGAAAATAAAGGATCTTGCTTTCTCACAATCAGATTAATTGTGCAGCATTGTAGGGGAGCAAAACTTGCCACCCCAAAAAGTGTCTCTTTGGCATGTGACTTATTTTAGGCTGATTATTTTTAAGAAACAGAAGACTCAAGAAGTATTTCTTTTTTGCTTCCCTCCTAACTCCTTGAAAGAATTTAGATAAAGGGCCTTTTGCAGAATAGGAGCTATCATTTATTATATATAGTTATATACATGACTAGGAACCTAGCCAGGCATACTTTGACCAAAGTCCTCTCTATGTCCCATTGTTTCTGGATGGCCCAGGAAACATTTGTTTACCAAATATTTATTCTTCCCATTCTTTCTGTGAATTGCATTCCTTCACTTTGAAGCCCCAGGCCCTTATCCCTATTCCTAAGGCCAGAATAACACATATACCTCATGTTGCCTGTTTCTGGAATCTCTCACATTTATGTGGATCCCTTGTATGTACATTATTAAATTTTATTTTCTCCTGTTAATCTGTTTCATGTCAATTTAATTCTTAGACCAGCCAGAAGAACCTTAAAAAATAAAATAAAAATTTTCCTCCCCAGTAGCATCATCTGGTCATTGCCAAGTTAAGATCTTCCTAAATCTAAAATATTCTCACATTGGATGCCAACACATCTGTTTCCCAACAACCTCTTCCTTTCAGAATTTTCAGAATGCATTTAGGAGCTGAGGAAATAAAAATAAGAAGGAAAAAAGGAGACATTGATGGTAGAAAAAAAAATGGAGACAGACTAAAATATAAGTATCTAAAAAAGAAACCTAAATGACTCTCTCTTCCTTCTTCCCTTGCTCTCTCACATCCTTCCTTTAGTCCTTTAGTTCTCTCTTCCTTTGAACAGATCCTTTTTTTTTCCTCCTGTGCTAAGTGTGTGGTGTACAGACAAGATTATCTTTTGAGGACATTTTATTTCTAATAAGCACTATATTTTACAAACTATTATCTCATCTATTATCTCATTTGAGTCTTTTTTAAAAAAGATTTTATTTATTTATTCATGAGAGACACAAAGAGAGGCAGATACATAGGCAGAGGAAGAAGCAGGTTCCCTCTGGGGATCCTGATGTAAGACTCGATCCCAGGACCCTAGGATCATGACCTGAGCTAAAGGCAGATGCTCATCCACTGAGCCACCCCAGTAGCCTCATTTGAGTCATATCTATACTGTTCTTTCACCTATATAATACTGACATAGGCATGATGATTATGAGGATATATGGTTCTATATTACCATATACTTCTGAGAGTACCAGAAATTGTATTATTCTGGATTATAAAATCACACAAAACACATGCTTTTTTTAAAAAAAAATTTATTTATTTATTCATGAGAGACACAGAAAGAGAGGTGGAGACACAGGCAGAGGGAGAAGCAAGCTTCCCGCAGGGAGCCCCATGTGAGACTCGATCCAGGGACTCCAGGATCACGCCCTGGGCAGAAGGCAGACGCTCAACCACCGAGCTACCCAGGCATCCCAAAACACATGCTTTTAAAAAGAGATGTACTATCCTGGGGATCTATAATGAAATTGACTAAAAATAACACTAAAATGAGATTCTATTGAACAGCTATTAGATATCAAGCACTAGCACAAAGTAGCTCATTAAACCCCTTAGATATCTCATGACCTAAATTGTTTTTATTCTAGATCTGAGAGAAGTTGAATAATCTTAGTACACAAGACTAAACTTGAAAGTAGTATGAGTAAGCAAAAAAAAAAAAAAAAATCCTTTGGAGTGATCTTCCAGTTGTGCTGCCTGTATAAGTGGTATTTAGCTATCAAAAATAAAGGTCCCCCCCCATAATATATTTTAACAATTTTGAGCCCAAAATTTTGTACACAAACAACCAAAATGTTGGTTAATCACCTTGCATATATGCTAATAGTTTATTCATGTCTTGCATTTAAAGGGAAAGGAGCAACTTTCTGACATAATAATTTAAATCTAAATATTAGGCTAGGGGATCCCTGGGTAGCTCAGCGGTTGAGTGGCACCTTCGGCTCAGGCATGATCCTGGAGTTCCAGAATTGAGTCCCGCATCAGGCTCCCAGCATGGAGCCTGCTTCTCCCTCTGCCTGTGTCTCTGCCTCTCTCTCTATGTCTATCATGAATAAATAAAAAATAAAAAATAAAATCTTTAAAAATAAATAAATAAATAATAATAAATTAAATAATAAATAAATAAATATTAGGCTAGTAACTATCGTTTTGAAAACTTTATTCATTAGGAACATCTATGTTCCATTTGCTGCTCCTACTCTGAGTCAGACCACTTGTTAAAATGTTGGCTCTGATTGGAAAATATGTTAGAAAATTAAAGAGTTCTTGAAAACCTCTAAGTCATGGATTTGAATCCTATTCTGTTCAGGGCTTGCATCTTAACATAACTTGGGACATTTCTGAGAAATATAAGATGCCAAACTCTATGGAAAACTTGGAGCTATCCCTCCCCCAGTCCATAGCAGAACTTGCCTAGTGTTCTAAATTCTGTCTCTAAGGCAAACAAAATAGCAGCTAAGGCTCAAATGAGTGTGGACACCTTCAGATTCTCTAGCAGGTAAGTTTGCTAAATAATGTAATTTCAGTTTTTTTTTTTTTTTTCAAGATGAATGAAGACTTAATGAAAACATTACCTTCAGAAAACATCTTGAAGCCCCATGGAAAGGATGACAATTATGCAAATCCTGTGTATTCTATTTTTATTTTCTGATTCTCTTAGGAGCCAACTTTGCTCCCTCTTATTTCTGTGGCTTCATGTTTATAAGGGCTTAGTTTTTGCTCGTTAGGGATTTTTGATTGTGAATTCACTTAGGGGAAATTTTGTCATGAGACTTGGGTTTAGTTGTGCTTATATAGGGAGAAGGCATATTTGTTTCTGCCAGTTGTCTGGGGTCACTACCAACTTAAACCTTTTTTTTTTGAAAACTGATTGAATTTACTCTGCAGACATACTTAATTATTTTGGGTTACACAATCTCAGCTAAAATTTTCTGCATACTCTCATGTGGGTGTTTTCTTTTCTTTTCTTTTTTTTCTAATTCACCTTTCAGTGAGAATGTAGACATTCAGGTATATAGACTTATTCAGGGGCTTCCTATTATACATTCACCTTTGGACAGAGTCCATTCTTTGCCTCCTATCACCTGCAGCTAACTAACAGTGCTATCAGAATTGAAGCTCAAGGACAACCGATTACAGGCATCTAAGTGGTGCCAGCGCTCACGTCCCTCTCTGGATTCCTATATAATTTTTTTTGCCTCTCAGAATTTTACTAATTTACTCAAGATATATTTATAAATATAGATATATTTATAATTAGATATATATTATAAATATTAGCTAGCATTATTTTGTTATTCCTAGTGAGACAATTTTTTAAGTTTCACAAAACTGCCAGAAATGATTACTCTAAGATTTGATAAAAGTCTAAAATACTTCTATATAAACATTTTCCTTTAACAGCGTATTCAGCCATCTTCTCATATTAGTACATACAGGTTTACCTTTTTGAAATGAATGGCTACATATCAAATACTATGGATAAACCATCATTTATCTAGCAAGTTCCCGATTAATGGATATTTATGTTGTTCTCAGTCTTTTGTTATCACAAAGATAACCTCAGAATAGTCAACATGTGTATATTTGTTGATTTGTATATCTAGAATAAACCTCTAGACTTATAAATCTCTAGAATTTCTAAGTTAAAGAATATAATACTTAAATTTTGATATCTCCAATTTGTTTTTCAGCATTTGCAACAATTAGAGTGAGAAGGAAAAAAAAAATCAGTGTGCCTGAATCCTCATGCCTTTCTATAATAGGTTTTATTGAGCATATTATTATTAATTTGAGGGAATAGTTTGTTTCTTAACCTTGTTCTAGAATTTATTCCATGGAGAGATATTACAGAAATATGCATGAAATGTTTTTAATAGATATTTTTCATGCCATATAAGGAACTGATTTGAACCAATTTTTCTTATATACAACTGAAATATAATCTTTTCAGGGCAATGCCATTTGATTTCTCATCTGACTGTGAGTGTTCTAACTGCCTGGAGAGTACTCAGAATGAGCCTGACTGGAATCCCTGTTTCAACAAGAGTAGTAATGACTCTCTATATTTAAGATCAAGAAAGAAGTCCATGCTTTCTTCTGGTATACGATGCTTTCCTCCTCAGTGTTGTTCCACCAGGCCACAGAATGACACCAAAGAGGACTCAGGATTTCTTCCCTCAGAGGAAGAAAACTCTGTGGAGTCTTCTCAAAACAATTACCTCAGTCTGAACCCTGAGGGCATTTCAAGGAAAATCAGGCCGTTGAGAGAGTTAACTGTCCAAGAATTACTGAGGGAGTTTGGGGATAGTGGGAAGTTCCAGCCAAACTCCACATCTGTAGGCCGCTTTAGAGATCAGGTGGTCATGAAGTTCAGAAGAGCTCTGTATTATTCTGGAATTTGGGTGACACATGTCCAAGGCTACAGACATGAAAAACACTTGTCAGCTAATTATTTCAAGAGAAATCCTCATTGTCTACACCGGCTGGTGCCCTGGCTGAAACGGGAACTAACAGCTGTTTATGGAGATTATGGTTATACAGTGAAGAATATCCTAGCCACCATTCTCCATCACATGACACAATATGATCTGGACAGTGAGTCCTTCATTCACCTCTTGGAGCCTTATCTCCAACAACACACCCACCATTTTCTGCATGAGTTTATTAGTTTTGTTCATTCACCTTATAACATGGAGACCTATGACCAACGAGCCATCTATCAATGTCCGTCTGTTTCACCATGGGTTAAAAAGAAGTCCATAGCATCAGATTCTGTTTTGCCTTTGTCTAAGGATCAGGCTCTACTGGCATCTCAACATGATACAGGGCAGTCTAGAAACACCCAGGGGCAATGGAAAAATGAACAGAAGCCTCTGTCAGGCTTGAAACAGTTTCCAAATGGTAACTCGTCTTTGCAAAAATCTGAAATGCCACTACAACATCATAAAATAGCAAGCAAAATCCATGCTTGGATCAAAGACAAATCAGAATCAGGTGATGAAAAAGGCACAACTTCTAACAATATATTCTTGAATTATACTACTCCAAGGGAAAGGGGCCCAGGCTTACAGAATTGCAAAAAAAAAGTTCAAGAGAGGAAAACAGAAGGGATAAAGTTGCTTCCTGATCATGTCCAGGATCTGGGAAAGAATGAAACAACTGCACATGCTTTCAGTCCCCCAGAAGTTTTTAGTCAGGGGCAGCCATGTCAGCACAGTCTAAGAGAAGGAAGGATTTTGAGCCCTGGCCAGCAGATCAATTTCAAGAAAAAAGGAGCAGACAAAATTAAATACTCAGATTCTTCACCAAAGATTTTTCAAAGACAACTACTCAGAGAAAGATCCTTGTTAAGTTGCAAATCCAGAAAGAGGGACCCTTCTTGGAGTTGCGTTTCAGAAACTGCCCTTTCTTCTGGGAGAAATAGTAGGAAACTGAGCTCTTTCAGAAAAAAGAGACTGAAGAGCAAACAGTCCTCCCAATTTGCAGAAGTTGGTTCACATTTCAGTAGAAGAATTCAAAGACAGTCAAGGTCCAGTTCTCACAGATCCAAATCTTGGTGTGTTGGGTTTACAAAGAGATCGTTAAGCAGAGAGTCAAGTAATCCCTCTCTGAGAGGAAGCCACAGAAGTGAACGCTTCATCCAAAATATATGCTGTGACCACTCAAAAGAGAAGGATGTGCATAGTTATGAATCAAACTGTGGGAGAGCATCTTTGACTACAGTCCAGTACGTGAAACGGCCTTCAACTGCTGGGAAGAGACCCAAGTGTTCTTCTAAAAGTGAGAGTACTTCCCAAGCTGGAAGCCACTGTAGTAGCCTCACACGCCTACAGACTGAGAAACGTAGATCCCCAAGTAAACACGAGATGAGGCAAAAAACTACATTTCCTAGAGCTGGCAAAACCAGAGCAGTTAGGCGCCGAAAAAACAAATGCCAATGTCTAGGTACAAAAACCACAAAGGAAGTCAGTGATGAAGTCAGGGATCCGAATGATGTAAGGCAGAAGAGTAGTCTTTCTGAGTGTGCACCTTCTGGCAGGAGGCAAATCCAAAAGAAAAAGGAGAATTCAGGCCTTCAGAAATGTCACTGGGCCAAAAATGAACATAAAGGAGACAAAATATTAGAAACACAGGGGTGCAAATTATTTTGAAAGGCAAATCAGTCCATTCGACTAGCCACCGAGGATCTTTGAAAGTATTAATATAATCTGGAAGGGATTCATCCCATTGCTTTGTAACTGGAACTAAAAGCCTGATGAATTAAATTTAAGGCTTCTTGTAGAGACAAATACATATTATTAAATTGGCCATATATGTAAGTATTATTTCAGTCTGATTTTTTTTCCCTTATGAACTGAGTTCTTAAAATATTTGGCTTTTTTTAGTTGCTAGATTTAACCATAAAGATTATTTGCTCAAAGTTGCAAACACCACAAAGACTATACTAACGATAGGAATATACATTACTTAACACAAGTTATACATATTAAGTATTACTAAACACAAATGTTATTTTTAAAGGGTATATTTTTTATTTTTAAAATAGATATAATCTGTAAGTTCTATAAAATATATTTATTAAATATATGTGTGTGTATATATATGTATGTGTATGTATATAGATATATATACACATTCCAGACCTAATGCTTTTTCAGTCCATGGAAAATAAGGAGGCATGCTCACTATCTTAAGATATAGTCATTGCCTTCAAGAATATCACAATTAGTTGTAAAGATAGATACAAATAAATAGAAAAAATAAATATCTTTGGGATATTTAGCACTACCTTCGTATCTCTGTACTCTGAAAACTGTGCCTTTACATACCCTGACATCTAGAGATCTTCATTAGAGGCTACTATGTTTTTAGAAAACTAATTTCCTACTCACTGTAAATTGGTCCAGTAACGGTGACTATACTAAAGCCAAGCTAATCATAGTATTTTGCCCATAGTACTTTGTCCCTCCAATCCTGCAGTTGATGAGTCCAGGGGTGGTCAAGTCATAGTACTTCCCTGAGATTTTTCAACTGGTTCTGATGAGAGGGTTATTCTCTCCTGTCCCCTAGTGGCAGGTAGTAAAAGCTTTAAAGCTTGGATACTATTAAGAGCTATAGTTCTCAATTTGTGAAGAAAACCAGTTTGAAGTAAGAGAGTAGAAAGCTAACAAAGAACAGCAAAGATAAGTCAGGAAGACACAGTCTTGGATTCAGACTTGAGTTCAGACTAGAACTTGAGTTGTGCTCTTGCTCTTCACGTGGTTTTATTTTTTAACCCTCTTTAGGTTTTGTGAGTCAATACAGTACTTCTCTGCTCTCTTATTAAATAGAAAATTACAGTTACTTGCAATCAATTCACTGGGAAGTGGCAAGTGGAAATCTAGGAAAGAATAGTCAGGAAGGAACAACTGCCTTGGGGAAGATTCTGAAGGCTTCTTGGAGAAGTAATCTAGAGTGAGTAAGAGTGTCCCAGGTTAATGTGATAGCAAATGCTATCAAGAAAAATGAGCAACATTAAAAAAAAATACCCTAATGTAACATTGTGTGTCAACTATACTTCAATTTTAAAAAAAGAAAAATGAGCAACTTCAAAAAAATGGAAGAAAATAAAAATTTCCAACACTCTCCTTCCAATGTAACTGGGAAATTCTAAGAGAGATGCTGAGAAGGGATGCTAATCCCAAATTGTAAACAGGAATGAAATCTGGCTTTTCCGGGTCCACAGTAGTCATGAAGCACCTAAAAGTAGCACAGGACTCAAATCGCAAATTAAGAAAATGACATTTTTGTCTTAATAACTCCTTTTTAAAAATAATCAAGACATGTTCCTGCAGAAATCTTAGAAAACCTGTTCAGCAGACATAAATGTGGTCTGGTACATTCAATTTTAAAATTGTTGTATTTCTTTTCTAATCCACATTTTCATCAATTTAGGTAAGTGAGTCCACTGTCAACAATGAGCTAAACCTTTCATGGTAATAACTCATGGGAAATACATACAAAGTCCTGGAATTAGGAAGAGGAAATTAATTGCAGTGGTTCAAAGTCACTACAACTTAGTAGTAGTGTACATTAAAAGGAAAATAAAACTTATTTTGGTCAAAAGTATGCTTATGAGCTAACAATGTTAGGCTGCATTCAAATGTAGATATAGAGAATTTCTCCAGGTATGGAAAACTGAAGTGGTTATCAAATACATGAATAGATATTCTCTAGGGAAATATATTCCTCCGGATGATTTGGAAAATGAATTTGGGTTTAAGGAGAAAGTTACAGAAAAGTGATTTTTCCTTAATGAAAGAAAGCCTGTCCTATTAGAGTGGTCATATGGTTCCTATCAGAATGGACATATGGTAGATCAAGAGGCCAATGGAGGGAAGGAGTTCTCATTCCTGGAAGTGTTCATGCTTGGCTGGATCCCAATAATGTGGGAAATCTGACTGGATGTTTTATATATTCCCATTTGACTCAAAGCTTCCAAGATTCATTAAAGAGTCACAGACAGTTGCTAATGAACCAAAAAATAGCATACTTATAAATGTGCAACATCTTTTCATGAATGGGAAAAAGAAAAAAATATTCAAAGATAGCACAGTAACAGTAATTAATATTGGAAGTTTCCTATTTGTGACACATTTACACCTCACACACACACTATCAGGTTATTATTTGAATTCACATTTTATGGATGAAGGAAACTGAGGTTTAATGCTGTTATTTGCTGAAGGGCACAAAGCTAGTAAATGCTGCACTCTGGGTTGAAACCCAGATGGTCTTACTTGCAGAGTCACTGATCTTAAACCCAACTTGACTTTGCTTACTTTTTTGTTGTTGTCTTTTTCAATTATCTACTATCTTTCTCACTCTACTGAACACATTCACAAACACTGTGATTTTCCCTTTACAAGTAAATAAAGTTGGTTTAAATATGCCTATGTTTTCAAAGATGAAAACAAGTTTCAAAGAAGTTTTATCATAACAAGCAACAGAGCTGAGAGCCAAACTGTAGATCCAACTGCCCACATTTTGTGTTTATATAGTCTGTCATAGCTGACTGAGCTTTTCAAATCTAACTCAAATGTACCCTATGACCCTTAATCACCTACTCTTCTTCACTACCAAGAGCACTTTTTCATTCAAAATCCAGAATACTAATATAATCATGCAGGGTGAGGCATTACGGGGTCACTCTTACTTATTTATAAGGATAAAAGCCAATTCCTCTTTCCCAAGTTCACCCTGAATTGTCCTTCTGATGCTAATGGGGTTCATCTCAGCCAGCTAGGAGAAGGCAGGTGAATGATTTTCAATACACATGCTTCAGTTCACACAGTATCTTCTATGGCACGTGGGTCAGTTGAATCTGCAGCAAAGGACCAGTTTTCATCTCTGTCCTTGACTCTTACATTCTTTGGGCTGGCACTCCTTTAGGTACATTTCATATAACTAATCAGAAGCAGGTAAGGAGAAATGAGGTGTCTGAAGATACCTGAGAGTCATGGTCAGGTGAGAATATTAAAACAATGGGTTATTAATGCTTATATCTTTCTATCATGCATATTTTAGCTAATGTATATTTATCAATCCTCACAGCTACTGCTTAGGGAAGTTTTTCATCTGTGCTCACTAGAACCATTAGTGTATCTTCCTAACTGGTTTCCTTGCTTCTGTGTTTGCTCTCTCTCTTCAGATCATTGTCCACACTCCCACATTTATTCTAACATACAAGTTTCATTTCTTTATTTTCCCTGCCTAAAATTCTTACTGGTTCCCTATTGCAGAGAGGATGAAGTCCAAGTTGTTTACTCTTACATATGAGGACCGTTTGGCCCCAATCCATTCCTATATCCATCTGTCCTTAAAGACAAAACACACAAACACAAAAATACATATGTATTATGCACAAGGACATATACACACATCCTTATACCTGCATACATCGTCTCTTACCAAAAGAATAGACTGTAATCTCCCTACCTTAAACAAATGCATTCCCTTCTGAACACTTGGTCCAATGTCTTCCATATAAGAGATGTTCAATAAACACATTTTTCCCATAATTGGTCTGGTACTATTGGACTGTGTGATCTCGGATAAGTTCTCTACAATTCTGTTTTCACTTTAGTTAAATGCAATTGATTCAATCATGTTTTAAATCACTGACCTGATATTCCATAAAACAATGTCACCACACTATATCTGAATCTTTTCCATACTTCTTTATGTTAGTGGTTTTGACTAGACTCATCTTTCACATTCATCTGCCCTCCCCGTTACATTATTGGTGTCCATGGTGGATTTTAAATTGTTTACTGGCTTATAATATTTGGACTTGGCAACACTCTGCTAGAGGATTTTCTGAACTTCCTTCAATTTCTAATCTATGAATCTTTGATTTTTTTATTTAATTAAGTTAAACAGTCATTTCAAAGTGACTGTTGAGCTACTAGTAATATATAGCTAAGGAATGACAACAAATTTTATCACATTATTAAATGAAGTAACCCCAAGTAAAATTTTAGGACAGTGTTTAGAAATACTGCTATGTGCAGATTTATCTCACTGATATATCATTTATTGTTGTATAAAGTGTCTGAACACAGGTAATTTCAATAATGTGCAACTATAAAACTGCTTAGGGAGTTGACAGGTATATTTTTTGTGTTAGGTTTCAGAACAAGCAAATATATTATGAATATTATTTTTGTATGCCAACTACTACACAAAAACATTTTGAAATATAAAGATTCTGCAAATATACTTATTTATTGAGAATTCAGAAGAACAAGGTGTTATACTTCAGCATAAATATAGTGCCTGAATGTTAAAACAAGCAAGGAACAGATGCAACTGCCTAATTGCTGATGTAAAGGAGTCATCAATTTCTCCCGTGCTTAACCATTTAATGTTTTCCCAATCTCTACTGTCTACTGCATCATGTTCTTTGATTTTTTCCTTCTCAAATGTGACCCAAAATTCCATGATGCAGTGATACCAGTAGAATGCTGGTTCCTCAGTCAGGCCAAGCCACTGTTTTCATGCTGAGTTCTTACTTAGAATATTCTTTGTTCCACTATCAATTAGACAATATGACTTTCTAGAATCCATTCAAGGAATACTTGTTCTTTGAAGCCTTACTTGATTATTTCCC